GGCAGCCACATGCATTGGAGCTTAATATGGCACCCAGAGAGCTTTCTGTTTCATTTCAGGAAATTAACACGAGAGAGACCCATCAATCCCACAAGTTAGGAAATTCCTTTGTGGGGTCACAGAGTTCACCTATGAGATGACAAACTTACAGTGATGACTTGTATTCTAACGTGTGACTTTGCTTGTGGCATTTGTACAGAGGAACTGACTGACCACACTCCCAGGACACCTCCCCTTTGTCAGACGAATGTAAAGACCCGGACACCAGCAAGACTTGAGTGAGGTGTGGTAGAAAGCTAGATAATTTATTTTGGCTTCCCTAATCTACAGCTTGCCAGAGAGAGCCGTGAAGATGAACCGCCACTTTAAGACAATGTTTGGAGCAGATAAGACAAAAGGAAGAGAGCCTGGAGTCCTCCTCCATCCCACTGCTCAGAACCTGGTTTCAGCTTCTCTTCAGCTGAACACACACAGGGTGTTTTCTGTGCTTCATCTAAGCTGTGGCCTGCTATGGTCACAGACCACGTTTTAGCTCCTTTGATATCATCTACCATACTGCTAGGCACATAGCAAGGCCACAATTTTTATGTGGAAATCATGGCTGGGAGTTTTGAGTTTTCTCCTACTGAAATAAAATGATCAGAGAACCACCGAGAGAATCACAAATACTTTAAATATATTCCAAGCTTCATAGGTTCTGTTTTCAGGGACCGCTGAGTTATCGTCAAAAGCACAAAAACCAACCAGTATTTATACTTATCGTGGCAAATCTACCCTAGGACACCAAAAATCTCCAGACACCAAATGCGCTCTTTTTGTGGGCCCAGATGATGTGGCTGTGCACAGTGTTTCAATTTTCTCTGAGAACAGCAGTTGAGGCCGTTCATCTTCCTCTTCACCATGATGCACACAGGGCATAAAGTGGAGAAAGAAGACCCGTGACCCCCATGCGTCAGAGGCTTCCGAAGCGTGGTGTGACGTCACTAATGGTGTTCCTCCGCTGTAAGCAATAAGGACTGCCATCACAGGGGTGACTTTGCTGATGAAAAATGAGGGCGTGATAATAGTAATAATATTAACAGCGACATCTGTGGACCTGCCAGCATGTGTCGTGAACTTGGCCACTGTTGCTTCCTGCTAATAAGTTGGGCTACCAGACAAGCAAGTCGACTTTAATATGTGTCACTGTTGGGCTGGGATTCGAACTGACCATCAAGTCTATACTTTCTGGCTGTAGCTACGAGGACACCAAGGGGTTAAGGCACTGCCCCAAGTCCCACAAGCCACCATGTTGCTGTGACAGAAAGGCATTATGTGTTCACAGTCATGGAAGAGGAAACATCACTTCTCAAACATTCAGACTAGGTTGTGAAACCAAAAACTTCCAACTTAAAACGTTCAGATCTTACAGCCTGATTCTCTTACAGCACTTATTTTTTTTTTCAAAATTATACTTAAAAAAAAAATCTTTGTCCAGGTAGTAAGCGGTTTGAGGGCCATACTTCAGCCTAGAATGACAGATGTGTGCACAATTTAGTGACAGTATGTTGAGTGTTCAAATGAAGGAATTTAAAAAAAGACTTGTGTGTGTGCCTCATGTGTATGTGCCACATTGTGTATCACGTGTGTGGGTGCCATGTGTGAGGGACCACACGTGTGAGTGGTGACACGTGTGTGTGTGTGTGTGTGTGTGTGTGTGTGTGTGTGTGTGTGTGCCTTCAGGGGCACAAGAGGGTGTCCGGGTCACTTGGAGCTGGAGTAGCGGGCAGGTGGGAGCCACAACAGAACTCTGGTCCTCTGCAAGAGCAGCCTGTGCTCTTCACAGCTGAGCCACCGGCCCTCAGGAGGTTTCCAACTTTCCCTTCAGACTCAACAGGACTGCCACCCAGAACCGATTGGACAAGGAAGGACAGGGCAGGGCTGGCGTTCTGATCTGACCGGTCTCTACCGGACACAGCGCGGTCTTACATAACTCAGCCGTGTGCAGGGGTATCTGGTGCCCAACTGATCAGGTGACTCAAACGCTGTCTTCATTTTATTCCTCTGGGAGTGTTTTGTTACCCCGTTTTGTTAAAATAGGGATGTGAACACCATAGCAACTCAGAGATACAAATCTCGCTGAATTGAATCATTGTGCTAGAAATGACCTGGACAAAGACTGAGTTTAAAAAAAGAAGAACAGGGAGGGTGTGGGAGTTAAGGACTCGAGGAGGAGGATAAAAGTATTAAATCACCCAAACTTCTGAATTTGAATTACAGTTTTGCTTAACTTGTAAGTCACTCTGTTACTCCAACAAGAGAAGGAGGCGGGTGGGGCAGGTGGCAATCGACAATGGAATACTATTAGTAGGTGTAGTCTCTCTACCATATTGTCACCTCCACCCGAAGACGAGGACACTGGGAAGAAAAGGACGGCATTGGAGGCCTAGAAGCCAGCTCAAGTGCCTGCTTAGTTTGGCACTAGGGGGAACCTCCGTCCCAGGAGCCTGGCAACCTTTTCACTCGAGGTAAAGAGCGGTAAAGGACTTGAGTAAGGCAGGCCCTGCACCGCACACCCCACCCTTCCTGGCCGCCCAAGTTATGCCAGAAACAAGTTTCTCAGGAGTGCACACATGGGAAGACCGGGGTCCTTTGCTGGGTCGGCGTGCCAGGGGGACAGCCAGCCCTAAGCGCGGGTTCCTGGGTTTCTGGAATGCAGCCCCAGCTCCAGGCAACGCGTGTGGCTGCCATGCACCGCGGATGCCAGGCTGGGCGAGGGCACGCGGGCGGCCGCATGGCGCTTGCTCGGGGAGGCGCTTTGTCTGCAGCAGAAGGGTGAGTCACCGGGCCCCACGGTCGGTCCGTCCCAAGGCCGGGCGGACGCTCGGGCCCGGCGGCGGCGGCGTAGCGATCCGG